TGACACAGAGTGGATAAGTTGTTAGTGCTACCTAGTACAGAGTGGATGAGTTTTGAGTTCTACATAGTACTGAGTGGATGAGTTGTTAGTGCTACCTGACACAGAGTGGATAAGCTGTTAGTGCTACCTGGCACAGAGTGGATGAGTTTTTAGTTCTACATAGTACTGAGTGGATGAGTTGTTAGTGCTACCTGACACAGAGTGGATAAGTTGTTAGTGCTACCTAGTACAGAGTGGATAACTTGTTAGTGCTACCTAGTACAGCGTGGATGAGTTTTTAGTGCTACCTAGTACAGAGTGGATAACTTGTTAGTGCTACCTGGCACATAGTGGATGAGTTGTTAGTGCTACCTAGTACAGAGTGGATAACTTGTTAGTGCTACCTAGTACAGAGTGGATGAGTTGTTAGTTTCACCTGATACAGAGTGGATAAGTTGTTAGTGCTACCTAGTACAGAGTGGATAACTTGTTAGTGCTACCTGGCACAGAGTGGATGAGTTGTTAGTGCTACCTAGTACAGAGTGGATAACTTGTTAGTGCTACCTAGTACAGAGTGGATGAGTTGTTAGTTTCACCTGATACAGAGTGGATAAGTTGTTAGTGCTACCTAGTACAGAGTGGATAACTTGTTAGTGCTACCTAGTACAGAGTGGATGAGTTGTTAGTTTCACCTGATACAGAGTGGATAAGTTGTTAGTGCTACCTAGCACAGAGTGGATAAGTTGTTAGTACTACCTGGCACAGAGTGGATGAGTTGTTAGAGCTACCTAGTACAGAGTGAATGAGTTGTTAGTGCTACCAAGTACAGAGTGGATGAGTTATGAGTGCTACCTGTCGTAGTGTGGATAAGTTGTTAGTGCTACCTGGTACATAGTGGAAGAGCTGATAGTTTGTAGAACGTAGTAATCCAGCTCATAATCGGAACAGTGTTAGTTTTACCCAAATCAAAGATGATGTCAACCAATTAAAAGACGTAGTATAATCTTATATACGCATGTAATGTCACGTAACTCAACAACCGCCAAACTGAAAAAAATGATGAAAACACAATACGATCGCATAGGATCGACATTATTGTTATTATATTGTAACTTCAGCACTTGTTAGATGTTTAAAGCGGGAGGGTCGTCACCTACGCACGCGCGGAAATTGAATCACAAGCGACGATAACAACACACGCTAAATACGGAAATGCTCATGGGTAGACGCTTGTCTGTAAGCAATGGCACGCTATGGCCATCTGACGCATGTGCAGGTGTCGACTCACCCACTTTAAATTTGCAGTGCTTTCACCTGTTATGTTTGGCTTACACACAAAACACGAGTAGTGCGCCGATTGGAAGTGCAGTGAACGCCGTGGCCCCACAACATAAACGCGCGTATCTACACTTAAACACGCAGACGACACACCGAGGTGGTCGTAAACGAATATTAACGTTAATACAAGCTTGATGTGGTATTCTTTTTTAGTTCGTGCGTATTGATATTTGTCTACGCCACAAACACAACACCATCGGAACAATTACATGATTTTTTTGTTATTGAATTGAATTTGCTATGTCAAAATTTAGTATATAGGTTAGTCTGATCTCAAATAAATATAGAAACCTCCAAGCATCATCGTTACATTTAAGCTTTTCAAAAACACTATATTACACTGTACAATTTCTGTTCTGGGATTTAACATACAACATGTATAACGTATTTTGTGAAGCTGCTTTTAATCAATCGTGGGTGCTGCTAGAAAAAATATATCTTATCCCTTTGCATAATTCATCGACGTTGTTGCGTGGGAATACAAACCATTTTCAGACCGCCAGTAAATTGAAAAGGAATTGAGAACTTTTCCGAGATTGGTTAATTTGAGTTTTACTTGAAAAAAACGATATAACAGACGTCGACATCTGGAATACTGTGTTGTCATCGCTGCTGTGAGCTTATTAAGAATAAACCGCTGTGTATCGACCGACATATAGCGCAGGCCGTCTTATTTCTATCATCTTACAGCTATGAATATTGAATTGATTCGTGTGGCATTTCTACTTGATTAATTATTTTGGTGCAACCAGCCACCGTAGTGACACGCAGATTAAAATGTACACACCAACGGTAACTTCATGACACGCATTCCTTGTAATTATTTTCACGTGAAAACATGTAAGATACGGGTATTTTTTCTACCGTTGCCGTTGACAGAAGTGAAATTTGACAATTCTTCTTAATTAGGGAAAAATTGTTCTAATGTCCTATGATAAGACAGCATGTTTTCTACGCACTCTTGAACTTTAAAAATATTCCCATTTTTTCCAGGTTGCAAGACGGGTGACGGACTGCAATGTTTTCCTGGTACACCATCCAGTCAGTGTTTTAGTGGCATTGATGATACTTGCAATGGTGTTGTAGACTGCAACTGTGACGGGGCATGTACATCCCCAGATGACGAAAGTCCAGAAGCATGTCAACTACGGGAACAAGTCGTCTGGATCATCGATAACGGTATGTCCGCTACTGAAAATTAGTAAATTTGTTACGATTGGCGTATTGCTATTTCGGTTGTGAGAAGTGTTTCATTTAAGTAAATAATGTTTTATTAACACATCATTGTCAAATCAATTTTTTTGTGGATGCACGTAAAAAGCAATGGTATTCTGATATTGTTCTTTCTGTTTACCATGCACGAATACACATAATGTTATTCATTAATAGGAAATCGACTAGTGCGGCTGACTGGCCATTTGCATTAGAAGAACACCTCAAGAGCAAAATCCCTTCATTGTGATCATCAGAATAGTCACCTGCTCAAGCATTAACCAGTTAATGATAATTTAGTGTCAGGGTGTAGGCACTTATATCGCTATACAATTACTTTTCACAGGTATACCGTATTTTGGATTTGGAAAGCACGATTCAGAAATATTCACAGTCCTTTGGTTTATGGGGTTACATGATTGTAAGTATGTTATCAGGTGGTCTAAACATTGGCATACCTGTATGCTTGAAAGCACTAATATATTTTGGATTAAATAACGAAGGTGAACGTGTGTATATCTCTATATGTCTATATATCTATAACCTTGTATTTTGATGAGTCGTTTTCACATGAATGCGATTGTCAAGACGCTCATATACAGGCTTAATTCATTATAACACATTTAATTAGAAACTATCTGTAAAACTTACTCATCATCGCCATCACAACTGTCAGTCAACTGTTACGTTACTCTGTAATTACGTATAATATTCATGGACCAGTCTATGTAACAGGACGAATATAACTCTGTTAGTTCGTTCCATTAATGGTGTAGTCATTATAACACTAATATATTGCAGAACACACACATGTTATTGCTTTATACGATAAGCTCATTATAGATTTGTTTGGCGGAAGCCACATTATTGAAAAAAAAAGTTAGACGTTTTCAGATTTCTTACTCTTTTATGTGGAGGCACGCCAACACCAAAGAATAAATGGAGTTCGCGACTGATATCAAAGTACCGCTACTTAAATAGGTAACAAGAAACAGAACACTTAGACGAATATATTGTCAGCTCCACGCAGGAAACATGTTTATTTCTGCCAATGGTTCTAGACAAAAAATATTCTTTGTTGACTTTTTAAGTCATCATTAATTGCACAAATGAAGGTTGTTTCAAAATGCGTGCAAGTGACATAAATTACAGTTATATTCACCTTTGCGATAAATTGTACTAATTATCCTATCAGTTCCATACTGAACAAATTAACTAATCAGTGTGCTAACAGATACAGTTATACATCAAATTGACGCATCTGTGTCTATCGATTAAGCAAGGCAGATGAATGTATTCCTCGGAGTATATGAACTTTCGTTTTTATTATAGCTGTAATTAAATTTATTGCCAATATAAATTACTGTTTCACATCTTTACTTTGCAATAAATTTTAAACCGTGGTTTACGAGTGTGTATGAATAAGAATGTACAGACAATGTGCTTACATATACATATACATATACATGTCGAAGTGATGTCATTCCTTAAAGCTAATTTGTCCTTTCAGTATTTCACAGATCGGTTATAATTTATAGTAGAATCTGCGTACACAAGTAAGCAATACGCCTAAGAAAAGATAAATCTGAGTTGCATTCCTTATTCTATGGTTGAATAATGTAATACAACTCGAAGTGTTTAGTTACACGAAGTTGTAAATTACTTATAAGATTGCTTATCTTATCATTATCATCTACTTGATGTATGTATCGTAGGTGATCTATGACTTTGTTAAAGTTTGCCACCATGCAAAGTGTATATGACGCAGCCAGAAACAACAGCTGCAGTACTAACCGCGGTAATCTGCTAAATCGACGTATTTGATTCATGTGGTTGAAGTCTTTGATAAAACATAGTCATGAATGAAATTGAGATTTAAATTGGCTATCAATCTCTGTTTGGCATTTATGAAAAGAATAGCTGCTTTACTAATAGCGTACTGAAAATATATGTACTTTTTCCAAGAATGGTCGAAATTGAATATAAATATTTATTCAATGTACTTGATTCGGCAAAGATAGATGTCCACAGTGGAGTGAACTGAGTATATTTAGGATATTGGAGCATTTCATTATGCGCTAAACGTGTATATAACAGTCCACCTAGAGACACTAATAAAATAATGTAATGATAAATTCATATATGTTGTAGTAATATTATGTAGATGAGAATATAACACATATTCGCGACTAAAACACGAGTAAAATTTACTTTCTTTACAGATTGTCCAACGCACAGTCGGCTATCTAAATCAAGTCTAATCTGTCCGGCGGAACCGCACAAGTGCATTTCTATTGACAAGTTCTGTGACGGTTTTGAACATTGTAGCAGCCTCTGCTACGATATACAGGGGTATAATTTCTGTGGTACAAATCATTGGTTGGGTGGATGCCTTATCAAAGATACTATGGCAACCGTCACCGAAGGTATGTTCATAAGTCGTAATCACATATAACCCAAAGCATTCGTGAATAACAGTACATTCATATTGTGTATATTGCAGAAAGCCGCCTTTTTCATATGCTCTAGTTAACTGTCTATGTAGACATTCTTGAAAGAGAGACTCGTTGGCTGTCGTATATCCGTCCGGTTTACTCCGTAGCGGACTCATCGGAATTTCCTGTATCCGCCTGCAAGCCATTTTAATAGCTGTATTTTTCTTTATTTTCAGGGACAGCACGAAAGTGACGGGAAGCTGTCGACGAGATTTTGCATTGAATGCGTACGCAATTAACAAAATAGACAAGATCACGTTCTTATGTCTTAGTGTTATCTAAATACTACTCAACAATACCATATACATCTAGATGCATTTTTCTTTTGCTTATTTTAATTTCGAAGTCATTCGATATTTCACCGCGCACGTAGAGCTGTCTTTGGAACATTATTTTATATCTCAATTTGTTTCAATAATAATTTTGATTCAGTTCAACGGATAAATAAATATATTACCGTGGATTGTTCATTGTTTTTTCAAAAAGAAAGTATTGGCACCAACATATTCCTGTTTATGTGAAATGTCAAACTGTCACATTTGAGTTGTAATGTATTGTATTGTGTTGTGTTACTAGTCGAAACGTTGGATGTCGCAATAACCTACAACGTTTCGTGTCGGTGATCCAATGACATCACTTATAAAGGGTCTATTGAGACCAGTTAACATTACGTTAATTGGAGATGGTTGAAACTGTACAATCGCTGCGTTGCCTAGGTAATACCACGTTCTGTTAATATTACACAGCTACTGATTTTCCATAATACCATGTTAAAATGCATATGACTAAGTTAGTAGATAAGATGAACCAAAGAATATTTCGCCTTTGATAACACGCGGGGTACGTGTTCTCCCCTAAAATGAATATTAATGACTAATAAGTATAGCGTGGGAGTCAATATGCCAGGCTGAAAAGACGCGATGCGATGTATTCCTGGCATGATTGGATAACCTAAACGGTTTCGATATTATACCTGTTAGCGACTACGTGTTTGCAAGCTTAAGAAGTCAGCCAAGCGTTCACAGGCGCCTCACACTGCCACAATTAAATATTTTCTAACAATCGATTCAAAGTTATCGGGTTTGCCTTTTTCCCTAATTCTACCAATTACACTGTTCAACTATATATACTCTTCGTGGATAAGTGGGAGTCGTATTTCCTTGTAACAACTGAGAACATTGAACTTCGTCGTACATTATTATTGATTATTCCAATTTGACACCTGATACTTGAAAATACGTGTACAATTTGCTGTGTTTTATTCAATAAGGCCCCGTTGTTCATAATTGCAAGTACTTGAAACTTGGGGGTTGAATCAATATCATGTTACTTTGCACCCTACAACGCACCATGCAATACAATTAGCAACTGTTATGGGATGATTTACTTGAAAAGAAACACGCACATTTGTTCGAATTCATAAGGTAATCGTCATTCCCTAGTAGCTGTGCCAATAATTTGTAAATACATTACATATCTGAATATTTTCCCATTGCAAATAATCATTATTTTGTATTGTAGATACGTAATACAAAATAAATCTTTTCTTGCAACTATATATTTGACGTGTGACAAATTTATATATCTAAGCAGTGCCTTAGTGTTAAAGCCGGTGATTTATGAATCATATCGAAATTTACTGATGAAACACGTAATCCGTCGGGAAAAGCTTTAACATATACTTAGTACTCAATGTCATTTTTACGTGAAAAATACAGCTCATAATAACATCGCATTGTTTGCTGTGATTGACATCTGACAGAAGTAACTATCAATTCCAAATCAACCAAACTCCGGGGATATAGCAGGAGATTCGTATACGGGTATCGTACTGTACTACAATGCTACTTAGGGGATTTGGGATTATATTAGACTGAATAAAGCGTGTACGTTGCGACGGAAAGACGTCATATAAATACGGGTTATGGGGAATGATTGAATGGTCAATTTTCCCAGACTTTCAGGCACAACGATAGAAAATACAACTGTGTCTTGCCAATCACAAAATATAACGGTTATTATAATAACCGCGACCTATATTGTAATTGGCAATATATACACTTGTCGAGACATGTTTCACTGTAGATTTCGTGTGTCTAGTATGCCAATAACCGTGACTATATTCTATTAGTGATATCAATATACAAAACAGCCTTGCCAGTTATAAATTTCTACGCCAGGATCGTTGTAGTTATAGTAAAGAAACAACTAAGAGGAGATGTTGCTATCATTTTCATATCGAAATTTAAAAGCTGTATCAGTTTGGTCAAGGGCAATTGCAAACATTTTTTGGTATAAATTTACTATTCAAAACGAATAAATACCCATTTGTTGGGTTTATTTATATTTCCCCGAAATACTCTCCAATCTATAAAAAAATTACATAGTCTTAAAAACGGATATAACACAATTTTCCTGCTATAATGGCTATTTATTGACGATTTAAATTACGTTTCGGAAAAATGTTTGATACAATGGACAATGAAAAAAATATATTCCATCTGATGATTTTATTATGTCACAACTGCAATCTAGTCATCTTAAACGACCGCACTTTCGGGGATTAGAAGGGGAAACTGACATGCCTTGATTTACATATACAATGACGTCAAAGCAGTTATAAGATAATTTTTAATATTTCAAAATACCAGTCTTTTCAAGATACTCTGTTAAAAGAGAATTACGTCGCATGGAAAACGTTTTGGTCAACAATTCTGATGGACTAGTTCTGAAAAGCGCAATTGACACATATAACGTCGAGTTAAAGCGACCGCTGCGCGCGTGCAGATAACCCTTACACTTTAAAAATACCGGTTTCGATCCCTAGGAACACACTTTAGTTCATTACAGATAGTTCAGCTTTATTCATCTATACCGTCAGCTAAGGTCACCGTTCGCTGTCTCCTTCTCCTCTTACAAATTCTAAAATAAAACGTTAAAGCATTGTAAAGTTGCCACTACTGAATACATTTATTAAACAATTCATTTATGATATATGTTTATAATGTTTACTTTAAACACGCAAGTTGTTGATTCTAAACAATTCTGCAATCTCATGTGAACCAAATGTGCGTACGTGGTGTCGTTATAACAAAAAACATTAAACAGCAATAAGATAGCAAATCCCAAATGAAATTAAACATAGTCATTCATATATATCAATGGTGTCAATAGTGATTATCTAATACATGTCCCGCACCAACTTTAAACGGCAGTAAAGGTTATTTGTCTGATATATGCAGATTGCATTATCATAATTTCTGAAAAACGATTGGTCTGCAAAAATGACCAGATAGTCAACCTACCTACACAAAAGAGAGGAAGTTTGAAACTAAACCTAGACAAAAAGTTATTATCTTCAAAAAACAACCGACCTTTTTTCAAACATATCTTTCTGTGTGGAGGAGAAGAACAAATAGCAGTTAATTATTGGATGGACCCACGGAACATGATGTATCGAATGTATTGATTGGGTGGAACCTAAACACATCTTGTATCGCGTGTATTGATTGGGTGGAACCTAAACACATCTTGTATCGCGTGTATTGATTAGGTGGAACCTTGGAATATAATGTGTCGCGTGTATCGATTGTGTGGAACCACGTAATATAAGGTATCGCCTGTATTGATTGGGTGGAACCACGTAATATAATGTATTGCGTGTAATGATTGGGTGGAGCCACGGAACATAATGCATCGCATGTATTGATAGTGTGGAACCATGGAATATATAGTATCGCATGTATTGAATGGGTGGAACCACGGAATATTATGTATCTCGTGTATTGATTGGGTGGAACCACGGAATATAATGTATCGCATGTATTGATTGGGTGGAACAACGGACCATAATGTATCGCGTGTATTGATTGGGTGGAACCACAGAATATAATGTATCGCATGTATTGATTGGGTGGAACGTCGGAACATAATATATCGCGTGTAATTAATTGGGTGGAACGACGGAACATAGTGTATCGCGTGTATTGATTGGGTGGAACAACGGAATATAATGTATCGCGTGCAGTGATTGGATGGGACGACGGAATAAAATGTATTGCATGTATTGATTAGGTGGAACGACCTAACATAATCAAATCAAAGCTAAAAATCACAAAAGCAAAGAATAATTATTAGACTAGAAATACTCAACAGACCTCAATTCTAAAACGGGTTGACATGCGCCCACTTACGTCAGTTGAGTTTATTGTCTCGATGTATAAGATTAATGTTCAGAAACACACACTTAAGAACAACGACAATATTATAATATATCAATACATGTCTCCTAAGCACACATATGACATCGTTCATTCGAAAAGACTAGAGATTGTATTACTATCGCTCGTAGCGTGAATACAGATAATTCAACATCGGTGATATGTAACTTCTCTGTACCAGAGATTGCATTACAGAACTTTATAGTAACACTCGTCTTACGATCACCTGAATGCAAATAGTTCAACACCAGTAATATGTAACTTCTCTGTACTAAAGATTGTATTACATAACTTTATAGTAATACTTGTCTTTCGATAACCTGAACGCAAATAATCCAAGACCAGTAAAATGTAACTTCTCTTACTAGAGATTGTATTACATAACTTTATAGTAACACTCGTCTTACGATCACCTGAATGCAAATAATTCAAAACCAGTAATGTGTAACTTCTCAGTACTAGAGATTGTATTACAGAACTTTATAGTAATACTTGTCTTTCGATAACCTGAACGCAAATAATCCAAGACCAGTAAAATGTAACTTCTCTTACTAGAGATTGTATTACATAACTTTATAGTAACACTCGTCTTACGATCACCTGAATGCAAATAATTCAACATCAGTAATGTGTAACTTCTCAGTACTAAAGATTGTATTACAGAACTTTATAGTAATACTTGTCTTTCGATAACCTGAACGCAAATAATCCAAGACCAGTAAAATGTAACTTCTCTTACTAGAGATTGTATTACATAACTTTATAGTAACACTCGTCTTACGATCACCTGAATGCAAATAATTCAAAACCAGTAATGTGTAACTTCTCAGTACTAGAGATTGTATTACATAACTTTATAGTAACACTCGTCTTACGATCACCTGAATGCAAATAATTCAACACCAGTAATGTGTAACTTCTCAGTACTAGAGATTGTATTACAGAACTTTACAGTAACACTCGCCTTACGATCACCTAAATTCTATTACTTTGAAGTAAAAAATCTATTACAGTCACGTGAATACTGGTAAATAAAGACGACTGTCATGTAACTTCCCAGTACCAGAGATTGTATTCATTTGAATAACACTAACACTCATCTTAGAATCACGTAAATCCAGATAATTCAACACCAGTGAATTTTAACTTCTCTGCAGTAGAAATTGTATCACTTTGAATTATAGTTACATTTCGATCACGTGACTATATCCATTGTAATACATTTGATGCCATGCTCC